CACTTTGATTAGATTTGGTTGTGAAAACGTTACGAACAGGATATAGCGTAATGATCTTACCATACTTATTGTGCATTACTTAGAATGGTTTCTGTTACCCAGGCAGACATTGTTGCCCAGGCGTGAACTCTGTAAAAGACGTGATAGTAGTTGACAATATCGAAGTCGTTCCCTGTCATAGTTGGATATCATTTAGGAACGGTAATTTTGAAGATCACTACCCCAATTCGATTGAGTATGCTAAGCTTTCACGCAAAATTGAGCTTATTTCAGATTAAGATATAGACCCTAGTGAAGACTTGCGGACTTAAGTGAAGTCCGGTTCTTGTTCGAGATTCAGGAGGTGAAAGTCTTACACAGGGCAGCGGTATTCACTAACAATACATGCCTACAACATTGTGCAGCAACTTTCACTTCTAATAGTGCCGTAACACAGCAGCACGGCTGAGTCGCTCAGTGAAGCTCTGACCACTTGGCGCCTTTCCTGTTCTACCTAGGTACCCGTGTTTTTCTTCCCACCGACCTCACTCAGCACCCACACCCCTGGGTAACAGAAACCTTTCAACCACTAACTCAGTATGGCTGATCCTCACCGGGAAGAGCGCTCTAAGGAGCTTGATCAGAACTTGTCTCCTGTCCCTCAAACTCAGGGTTTTCTCGGTCTGCCATTGGAGATGCGAGTCGAAGTGTACCGTTATCTTCTTGATAATACGCTCTCTCGAGGCCAAACATCGGATATTGCTGCTCTCTTGCTAGCATGCCGCACCACCTATGTGGAGATGTCACCTATGATCGAACATATCGAGACTATACTCAAGGTCAAGAACGCATGCGATGCCCTCAAGTCCAAGCATGGAAGACCTGTTCGGTTCAAGGCCCCACAGAACTACCTCTACCTCGAACCTCTCCCCCGACTCACCGTTTATATTCCCACTCACGCCCTTGCAGACTCCGCAACAATCAATCGATCGACATGATTGATTCCTATATAGGTTAAAGAGTTACTTTATTAGGCAGCCTTTAACCTAGATAGGAATCAATCATGCCGATCCGATTGATTGTTGCGGAGTCTGCGCCCTTGAGCTGGCCAGCATGTTCACATGCGAGGACGTGGCCGCCACGCTCACAACGGAGCCGAGACTGCCGGAAGCCCACCTCTGGGGCATCGGTATTCAATTACGCCAAATCTTTGAGCTTCCACTCGACTCAATCACCCTTTACACTTACGACCTCAAGGAAAGCAATAAAGTTCCACAGCTTGGATGGCGATCTCTTCTAGACGTTTTCAAAATCATCACCCAGGAGCCGCATGGATGTTTGAGCGCCGCTAGTCGAGTCAAGAAGCTGATTCTATTTGAGACAACGACTCTATCTTACAACCCAGAGCAGTGCCAACACCTTGAACAACTGTTCTCTCAACGCACTTGGACAGGTGTGATTCCTAAATTTCGACAGCGACTTAGGAATCAGTTGCAAGAGTTGAACGCGGTGTACACGGTTGATGGCAAGACTGGAAAGTGCTGGGGTATTGATCTCGAGAACTCTGTGTTTTCACCGCCTCGACCTACCTAGGTAGAAGTTGAGGTCTAGGTGGATCTGCTGCAGGACCACTGTTACAGGGGAGGTATCTTAGGTTATGACAAGCGGTCATAGGGATATCTTGAATTGTGGGCGATCTTGGATGAACTGTGAATGTTCAAGGCTGGTTGTGAGTCTCTCGCCAGACTTTACAACCGAGACTTCGAGAAACAGCATTGTAGGAGACGTGCAGGTATCTGAAGACCGTCTAGATGTATATCTGGATAGGGTCTGAATTACAGTACCAATAAACACCATCCCTTAAAACTATTTGAGCTTCGTGATTATAAATATGTACTGAAATTAGTGAACTAGGAGCCAAAATAACTGTGAATCCGACATGTGGATGCTGTTGTTTATCTCCATGGGAAGGAACGTCATACTAATGTGGTCCCTGGACTACCTTTGTTTGAGCACGGAAAGAAACTAGTTATCGGGACTGACACATATCCAGCATGGCCATTCAGAGGCCTGATATTCACTGCAATGCAATGTGCCCACGACGACAAGATCGGCAGGATTCGAGAATCGGACCCGAAGCAGGAATCCGAGAAACACGGACCTGTTGAGCTAGTCCGAACAGCGTTAGTAACCTGGAGAAGTCAACCAAACAGAGCCGGAATCTCCACAACAAACCTGGCTCTGTCTTACTGTGCTGATATTTGCTCGGATTTTCGGATTCCTTGGGACCGGACTACCATTGTGGACAATAAGAGCTAGCCAGATACAGCTCTAAATTACTCTCGCGATATCCCAGCTTTTACATAGCCCAGTAGCACTTCTAATTTGCGCGCAAGGGCATGTGGCTGAGGCTCGAGAAATGGGCTGTTTTGAGATATTTGCCATTTCTTTCATGAGGTGGGTTTGGATTAATCGCTCAGCATAGAGATACATATAGTTGGGCTGTTCTGCAGTATAGACAGACTTGTCATTAAGCAAATCAAACAAACTTTGGACGCTGATTTGATTTGTTTGTACAAAACTTAAGATTGTATTTGAGTTGTTTAGTTTGATAGTGTTTTAGGAGGCCGTTTGTTTGAAAGTTTGATAGATTTGATACTGTTTAGGTGCTGATCTAATCGTATATCGTATATATTACTAAGCTTCGCTGTCCCACTTGCATATTTCGTATATTGCAGCTACCTCAGCGTCAGTTACATCGCCTGAGTTGTAATCAGATGGAGGCTTAAAGCCAGCGTCGCGCCAGCTTCGTATACACTGTATTGCTGCAAGCAGTTGTGACCCAATTTTGCGTCGCCTTGGCTCTAATAAATCACCGAGCTCGCTGAACAGCCGCTCGCACTCACAACTTGAGGCTGGTATTGTTAATATATCGATCGCCATACGCGCTAGGTTAGGATACTTTGGGCGTAGGCTTATCCAATAGCTAACAGGATTACTACCTTGTTCGAACTGCTCCTGCGTCCAGCGGAGTTCAAACCGTCGCCAACGCTCCAGCTCATCCATCTCTGTCACCTCAACAATGCCATAAGGCTCCGCATTAACGAGCGCGTTGATGGCGTCGTTGATACCACTTGAGAGCCGCACTGGTGGGCGACTTTGGCGCTGTATTTGCGGCTTATAGAACGCCCAAAGTTGTTTCAACCCAGCGTTGTTTGCCTCAAGCCAGCTCGGTTTGTCGCGCCAGCTGTTCTCACAGTAGTTCTTGTAGTATGGGTGGAGGCAGGTAGCGGCAAAGTATGCGGGTGATTCGTCGAGCTTAGTGTAATACGCGTTAAGCTTTGCCCAAGCTGCGCGTAGGTTGATAGGAAGGTGATCTTCTGGCGCGCTATTGGCATTATAGTCGACGCTTTCGTGGTTTTTAAGTAGCTGCTCGTACACGGCAAGTACAGCTTCGAAGACAGGTATAACCTCGTATATCGCGCCGAAACGGCCAGCTTTACCGCGAGCTTCAAGCCGTTTTGTCGCCTCCTTTAGCGGCTCCAACACTGATATATACTGGGTTATTACCGCCCAATCGTCAGCCGTAAGCCCATTAGATCTCATCCAAGCTGGTACTTTAGTGAGCTTATTGTTACGGCTACGCGCGTACGCGTCGGCGCCCATCGTCCTTTCGATGTGGCTTTGGGCGTACTCATCAACGGCGTTATGGAGTTTTGCGGCGCGTACAAAGGTGTCGTGAAAGCTGTTCCAGCGCGTGACGACTGGCTTTACCGGCTCGTGTAACGGGCTGAGCCTCGAGTCACATGACTAGGCTGCTAGCCTAGTCGCTTCCCCGGCAACGTGAGGGCCGTGCGCCAACCCAAACAAAGCAGGCTCGCCGCTTGCGTCTTACCTTCTTTCTTCATCTTGACTGTAAATAGCATCTGGACTAGGTAGCTGGAATACAGTCCCTACAGACCGTTCACATACAGTCAAGATCAAGAAGAACACGCAGAATACGCAGAACACGCAGAACACGCAGAACACGCAGAATACGCAGAATACGCAGAATACGCAGAACACGCAGAACACGCAGCAACCAAAGCACCGCTATAATGAGCTCCCCCGGGGATACTGACATGACGACGAACGATTCGAACCAGCTGTTACAGTCGCTACTACAGAGACTTGAAGACATGAGCACTAGGATGGAGAGGCTGGAAGCACCATCGCACGAGCTACCTCAAACGCCTGGTCACAATACAGACGCCACCACTGATCCAACGCCAACCTCCGAGACTTCGAACACATCTGTGCCTATAACCCCAAAGCCGCGGCACAGCTTACCCCACCCGCCTACGTTTGGTGGAAACAAATCACAATGGCGAGGATGGAAGCTAGAGATGGAGGGCAAGATCGAAGAAGACGCGCAAGCTATTGGAAGCCTAAAAGCTCAGCTACGCTACGTCTACATGCGTCTTGATGGGGCAGCGAAAACCAACGTTACAACATACTACGAGATACAAGTTAAAGAAGAATCGCCAAACCCTTTCAAGCTGCTTGACCGCCTTGAACTCCTCTACGGCGAACGAAATCGGAAGGAGAAAGCCATTCAGAACCTCTACTCTATACGCCAGAAGGACGACGAGACGTTTATTTCCTTCTATCCACGGTTTGAGAAAGAGATGGCCAACGCTGACGCAGAAAGCTGGCCTGAGCATACGAAGATATCCTACTTACGCAACGCATTAAGTGGTAGGATAAAGGATAGGCTTGTTGGTACATCAGGAGCAGAAACAAGCACATACGCAAGGTTCGCTCAGAAGTGTGTAGATCTTAGCAACGACATGGAGTTGTTCGGCCAATGGACGAAAACAACCCGCCGTTACGGTAGCCGAACTGCTGAAAATGCACTAACCTATGAACCACCAGCAAAATCAAATAATGCCACGCTCACAGCAGTTTCCCCTGAAGACATGATGGAATGGGAACCTACGCAGCCTACAACTACCCAAGTGAACGCTGTCGGCCTCCGCGGCAAGACCAACATGAATGGATATCCATCTAGGCGTCCCGAAGACCGAGAACTTATTGGAAAACGAGCAAAATGGGTCAACCAAGAGGAAATCGATGCTCGACGCCAGGAACGACGCTGCCTCCGATGCGGCCGCAACAATTGCCGAATAGCTACATGCCCGTTAGCAGCCGCTCTACGACCAACTCACGTTAGCGTCAAGACAGCAAAGAGTACTGTGGTCACCAAGGCAGCTGTAGAGGAGGAAGATCCAGAAGACTCCGAAGCAGAGCAATAGGAACACGCGGCAGCTCAGAAAGAATGGAAAGAGACCGGAAAGCAAAAGATGGATAGCGATCCCTTTGTACTGGACGTTAGACTTAATGGAACTGACTTTGTCACTGGACTTGTTGACTCAGGTTGCCTTTGCTATTCTGCCATTAATGAACAACTCTTTCGATCTCTGAGACTGCCATCAATCAAGATAGCCCCGCGCCAGCTAGAGGAAGCAGCTGGGAAGAACGCAGAACCAAGTACTGTCCTAGATACAGTTACTTACGCCTCGATAGACATAGACGGCCACCAGCAGAAACGCGTCTTCTTCTACGTTGTACCTGGCCTAACTTACGACGTGATCCTAGGAAAGCCCTGGTTAGAAGATGCCGACGTCACAATTTCGGCCAAACAAGGCTGCCTAGATATCGGCGCGTCAAACATCCGCGCATGGAACCACAAGAAAGCGTCATACAAGCCACCACTAATGAAGGCTACTCAGGTGATGGCTTCCGCATTCATGGCGGAGGTGAGAAGAAGCCGTAGGAAGAACAAAGGAGACGGTATTGCGCTCGACACTGGACTGTTCGCTGTTTCCATCGCCGACATTGAGAAAGCTTTGAAACCGCGCAAACGATCCGATCCAAAGACGAAGCTCCCACCCCAGTACCACCAATGGCTGAAGGCTTTCGACCATTTCCTAGCTGAGAAACTTCCCCCACATCGTAAAGGCGTTGATCTCCACATTGAGATTGAAAAGGATCAAGACGGAAACGAGAAGACCATTCCATGGGGTCCGCTCTACGGCATGAGCCGAGAAGAGTTACTAGTGCTTAGGAAAACTCTCACCGAGCTGTTAGACAAGGATTTTATCCGCGCAAGTAACTCTCCCGCAGCTGCACCCGTCCTGATGGTCAAAAAGCCAGGAGGGGGCATCCGATTTTGCGTTGACTACCGAGGCTTGAACAACATCACCAGGAAGGACCGTTACCCTCTGCCTCTATTCACAGAAACACTGAGAAATGTAGCTAAAGCTAAATGGTTCACAAAACTTGACGTTATCGCAGCCTTCCACAAGATCCGTGTGGCCAAAGGAGAAGAATGGAAGACAGCTTTCCGAACAAGATACGGCCTATTCGAATGGCGGGTTGCTCCCTTCGGACTAACAGGAGCACCAGCCGCATTTCAACGCTACGTAAATGGTGTTCTACAGGATTACCTTGACGACTTTGTTTCAGCCTACGTTGACGACATCTTAATCTACTCGTCAGGATCGCTTCAGGATCACAGAGAGAAGGTTGGAAAGGTTCTTCAACGCCTTATAGACGCTGGACTGCAGATTGATATCGACAAGTGCGAGTTCGAGACTAAACGAGTCAAATACCTCGGGTACATTGTGGAAGCAGAAGTGGGCATTCGAGTTGATCCTGAAAAGATTATCGCAATCCGCGAATGGGCTACACCAACGTCAGTTAAGGCTATCCGAGCATTTATTGGTTTTGCCAACTTTTACCGAGTTTTTATACCAAACTTCTCGGACATTGCTGAACCGCTTATCAACCTAACTAAGAAAGAGATGGTTTTTCATTGGGACGAGGCTTGCAATCAAGCATTTGAAACGATTAAGGAACTTCTCATTACAGCACCAATACTCGGCCATTTTGATCCAGAGAAGGACACCTTGGTAGAAGCCGACTCCTCAGGACATGCAACTGGCGGCCTATTGCTGCAGAAGGACAAGAACAACAACTGGCAACCCGTTGCCTACTACTCAAAGAAGCACTCACCAACAGAGGCCAATTATCCAATTCATGACAAGGAGCTTCTAGCTATTGTTCGTTGCTTAGAAGCATGGGCTCCTGAACTACGTATGGTTAGGAAGTTCACAGTTCTGACGGACCACAAGAACCTTCAATACTTCTACCGCGAACGACAGCTGTCTGAAAGACAAGTACGTTGGTCAGAGTTTCTCTCACGATTCGACTTCTCCCTGGAATGGAAACCTGGAAAGACTATGGGAAAACCTGACGCCCTGTCACGACGAGAACAAGACCTACCCGCCAACTACGACGATGAACGAATACGGTCTCGATTTATCCGTCTTTTCCAGAGCAAGCACTTGCAGAGTGTTCAAATCCAGTCCCTGTCGTCCGAGGAGATTGACTTCACAGAAGAGATACGCATGTTTGAGGACCAGGACATGCAAAATCTCTGGCACCGAAGCCGCCAAGAGGATGAGCTTTATCAGGAGCTCACTACGCTGGTAGCAAACAAGGAGCGGAACCTCCCTACCAAACTTCAGAAGGAGAAGTCAGTGAGTATAGCAGAATGCACCCTGGACGAGAGAGGCCTGTTGCGATTTCGAGACCGGATATGGATCCCTGACTGCGAACCACTTCGCACACGAATTATTCAAAATATTCACGACTCGCATATCACCGGCCATCCTGGACGAGATCTTACCTACTCAATCTTATCAAGGCAGTTCTTCTGGTCAGGTGTAGCAAGCGACGTGCGACGCTTTGTCCGTAACTGCGAGATTTGCGGGAGGAATACGATATGGAGAGAGACAAAGAAGGGCCTCCTTAAACCGCTACCGATCCCAGAACGTATATGGGGAGAACTTTCAATCGATTTTATTACGGACTTGCCGCCATCTGGACGCGATGACGCAACGAACTGCATGGTGGTCACTGATCGGCTGACAAAGGGAGTTGAACTGGAAGGCATGCACGATATCTCGGCAGAAGCAGTAGCACAACGGCTTTTAGAACGGCATTACCCTATTCATGGTATTCCAACGGCAATTACGAGCGATAGAGGACCACAATTCGTCAGCGATCTTTGGAGGCATTTCTGTAAACTCCTCAGCGTTGAGCAACGCCTGTCGACTGCCTATCATCCGCAAACCGATGGTGCAACAGAGCGAATGAACCAAGAGATTGAGAAGATGATTCGAATCTGGGCCACCTACACGCAAGAAAATTGGCTAGCACTTTTACCTATCGTTATGGGAGCAATCAACAATCGCGAGGCCTCATCTACTGGCCTAAGCCCCTTCTATTTTATGCACGGATATCACAATGAACCCATTCAGCTGGTAGAGGATCGAACTATTCAGGACCGACCAAAGAGAGACGGCGAAGCACTGGCAGAAGGCTTCCTTAAAAGACTCCAAGACGCAACAGAGTGGGCCCAAGCTGCGATCGCGATAACACAAGAGAAACAGCAACATCAAGCTAACAAGACAAGAACAGCAGCGCCCCAATACAAGGAGGGAGACTGGGTGTTTTTGAACCTTAGAAACGTGAAGACAACACGACCTTCCAAGAAGCTAGACTGGTTGCATGGAAAGTACAAAGTCTTGAGGCAGGTCAACTCCCACTCTTATCAACTTGACGTTCCGGGGAAGATCCATCCTGTCTTCCACGTAGACCTGCTTCGCTACGCGCCTAACGACTCTCTCCCATCGCAGAAGGTTGGAGACACTCAGCCAGGGCCTATACTTGTAGATGGAGACGAGCTATGGCTGGTTGAACGTATTCTGGGCGAACGCACAACAAGGCAGGGAGGGAAAGAAATCAAGGAGGCATATGTGAAGTGGGTGGACTATACTGAACCGACATGGGAACCTGTGAGTAACGTACTAAAGACTGACGCTTGGAGGAAATGGAGAAAACTACGCGCTAAAGGGAAAGGAGGGGGGTAATGTAACGGGCTGAGCCTCGAGTCACATGACTAGGCTGCTAGCCTAGTCGCTTCCCCGGCAACGTGAGGGCCGTGCGCCAACCCAAACAAAGCAGGCTCGCCGCTTGCGTCTTACCTTCTTTCTTCATCTTGACTGTAAATAGCATCTGGACTAGGTAGCTGGAATACAGTCCCTACAGACCGTTCACACTCTCCCTCCCCCCTCCCCATCACCTCCACGCACACTCCTCTCCACACTATCAATCAAACTCTCACTTCCCGTCTTCATGCCCAAACTACCCGTTCCCTCATACTCTTGTCTCGTATTCTGTGTAATGTCCTCTCCGCGGCGCTGCTCCGAAGTACCGCATGTGTTTTGTTGGCCGTAGGAGGTCTGTGGGGGTTAGGAGCGAGTTGGGATGTGGGGTTGGGAGAGGGAAGAAGTTCTACCTTATCGACCGAGTTACTCAAGCCAGAGGGAGTTGTTGAAACGCCCGTTTTGAATGGTACGCTGGGGTCGCCTTTGGAAGTGTCTTTTTGTGAGGAGCCGGGGTTGGCTGGGTTTGGGGGCTGGGTGTTTGAGGATTCTTGGGTGGTGAGGGAGGACATTGTGGTGGTTTGGTGCGGGTTGTAGATAGTCGTATTAAAGCTGAGGAGGTGGTTGTTGTTCTTGGAATTCTGGGAAGGGTTTGATTATACTGAATGGTGTTTCATCGATTCAACGTCATTCTGACCGAAGAAGTGGGTAATTCACTGGGGCAAAGGTATTTAGTATGACACGAATACCACGCGTAGAGCACTGCTGTTCACACAGGATCTATATAATCTATCATGTATACTCCCTAATAAGACGTACGTTCACCAGTCTAGCCCAGATGACACATTTTGGCCTCACACAAGCATAATAGAATCCAAAATGTACAGCCTTGATTCTATGCAAATGGTCTATAATGCACCCAAGTCTATAGCTTACTCTTGCCAATGCCCCAGACCTCAGCTTGCGGGTTGTTTGACTTCTTATCAATTGTAGCTCCCTCAGCAACCGGCTGCTCGCCCTCGCTAACGTAAAGCGACTGCGATTGCTTCATTGTCTCGAAAGCCTCGCGTTCGATGCGCTTGAGGAGCTCTTCGTTGGTGGGAATATCGTGGATTAGTCCGATGACTTGACCAGCAGTCCAGACCTAGGCTCATCAGTTACTGTCACTATGCAAGGGGTTGTGCGCAACTTACTCCAAAATCTGGGTCACCGTTCTGGAACACCTGTCGGCCCCGCTTGCCGCTGACGTACTCGGCTACCTCTTCAAATTTGCCTGTTGTACTGGTCTTCTCGACCTCGACAGCTTTAAGCGCAACCTTGTTGGCGAAAAGACGCGACGTGTTCTTCCATCGTCTAAGCACGAGCGTTGTGTCGGTTTCTTGCGCGTCAACTATGGCTTGCTTGATGTTGTTGTGGATGGGCGCCTCGACTGTGCACATGAACCTGGTTCCCATGTTGATACCGCAGGCTCCAAGAGCAAGCGCAGCAGCCAAACCCTGACCATCGGCAAAGCCTCCTGAAGCGATAAAAGGGACACCAAGCGTTTGCCGGGCCTTGCTGAGCAGAATGAAGTTGGTGATATCCGTCTCACCAACATGTCCGGCGCATTCAAAGCCGTCAATGGACAAAAAGTCAACACCAAGCTTCACAGCTGACTGCGCGTGTCTGATGGTTGTGCATTTGTGCAGGATAATTGTACCGACAGCCTTCAGTTGTTTGATGACTGGTCCCGGGCTGTTTCCCGCTGTTTCGACGATGTTAACCTTCTCCTCGATAATGACGCGCGCGTACGCCGCATAGTCCGGGGGCACCATGGCGGGCAAAAGAGTCAGGTTGACGCCAAAGGGCTTGTTCGTCATGGTACGGCATCGTCGAATCTCTTTCCGGAGGTCTTCAGGCGTCGGTTGAGTAAGGGCGGTCAACTATCGTCGTCATCAGAAGCTGCTTGGTTCAAACGTGGGTTGAAAGCGTACTATTCCAAGACCTCCAGCGTTGCTAACAGCGGAAGCAAGCTCAGCGTAGCCCACCCATTGCATGCCACCCTGGACGACAGGCACTACATCACATGTTAGTCGCCAGTTATCTTGATGCTACTGTTCAGCTAACCTCTGATGCCGAGGGCCCTGGTAAGCTCGGTGTTGAAAGGCATTTTGACGTCTTTAGTAACAACGGTTATATCTGAAGAGAGTGTAAGAGTACAAGTCGCAGCTAAGCGTCAAACACGGGGAAGATATCTGACGCTTGCACGCGCGCGACCCTTCGTCAGTCGCGCCGGCTGGCTGAGCCATGGCAGTCGTGTGGGGGAGACATGTGCCTCGGCATCTCGGCCTGCCCGACACCAAACATGGGTATAAGCCGTTGGATGATTAGTCATGTACCGGCTCCCCAGATTCCACTTTTTTGCATCACTTGTCACGGCTTGTGCGGACGCTGTTTTTACGTCAAGGAATAATCGTATAATGCACTGGTGTGGTTTGGCCGCCGGCAAGGGAGGCTATACCTCCGGAAGTTGCCAAGCTTCACGTGGGTGCTGTCACATGCTCTTGGCATCAACGGGTCCCTTTGTTAACCTTGCAACATCATTTGTCTAGGTAACAATCATCAAAATTGAAGAACAAAGAGCAGCTTCGGTAAAAGGTAGAAATCAAGGGGGCGAAAACACATATGCAGTACAAGTTGGAGTGACTAGGTGGTCCAGTTGACTACCTAGTCGTCAATCACTCTGATTGTGGGTGGTCACATAGTGGTCAGAAACAAAACAAGAAGTACAGTTCTACTATTCAATTCAAAAGTTGCTAAAACAAATATTGCTCCATAATAATAATCGTTGCCATCAAGGGCTTAATTGCATCAACAGCAATCTTGATGAAGGTGGAGAAAACGTGCGTGAACTTGTTGTATTGGAGCTACGGGAGAAGGGAGAATATCTATGGTGCGCGCACGGAGCAGCTGACTAATCAGTGCCTGGCCAATCAGAGCACGGGAAGCCTGATTCACCGTGAATACTAGTGAAGGCTCTCACCGCGTCTCGACAAATCTAGCCGAAGATAGTCTCCGTAACAGACAGATAACACGTAATCTCAATAGTCCGACACCAGCTGAGCCCGATACAGAAGGTTATTCCACAACTTCCTCCAAGAATCCGAAATTAGTTGATAGCTTTGGTTGTCATCAAAGGTGACTTTCCAAGGCCCATCATATTCCAGCAAAACAGATCCACGCTCATGACCGACAAAGTCTGTCACAGTGGCAACCATGCGGCCTTCTGCCTTCTCCTTGGCAGTATGGTTCTGGAAACCGAAGTGAGTGGGATAGACCGTATCCGGGGTTGTCTGGGTTGAATGGTTCCCCCAGATGAGCTCAATGCATTTCGCCTTGTAGCGGTTGAATCGGAAAGGGAAGCCACCACAAGATAGACACGAATCATGCATTGCTATGAGGCAGAAGAACCTATGCACCTCAAAAAAGAAGTCATGCTTGTCCATCGGCTGCAACTCATAGTCGCGATTGTCGCCCCACCGTAGGTGATCGGAGCCTATAGCGACCAGTGTGAGCTTGGACAAATGGCACCCCAACAGCTGTTTGGCAAGGACCGGCCGCTGGATGATTGGCCAAGAGACTCCGATGCGGAGGTTTCGAAGATCAGAGAACTTGGAAGTGGATGGATATAGAGAGACATCGAGTCGAGCTCCCGGGGTCTCATCCCTACCTCCATTTGTCTCTAGCTCAACCATCTCAGCTTCTGTCTTCTTCAGCAAACGATTGAAGCCGCGCACAGCAGCAGTCTCAGCCCCTGTGTAAGCTTGCTTGCAAGAGAGAATAAAGCCTATGTTTGTGTTGCCGACAGGGGGAAGTTCGAGTAGATCGTAGATCATGCAGCGAACGTCGAGGTTGAGGTGTGTGAAGAACATATTGGCGCGTACAGGCGGCTCGTTTGCGCTTGGAGATGCTGCGGTGGTATCCGTTGATTTCGACATGGTTTGATGTTGTGAGATGTTGTTGAGGTTGGTGAGTTGCATGATTGAATATGTGTGCCGGGAACAAAGCTTATATATTATTCCTTCTTTCGAACAGGCTCATTGTGTGCTGAAAGCATTCTACCCACATATATTCACAATGTAAATACTACACTGTGCATAGTGCAAGGTACTAGGATAGTAACTTGACTATGCGAGATGATCTACGTTACCCAGAGATGTCAACAAGCAAGTCAAGCTGGGTTTAATTCTAATCGACTGCGGATATCCAAAATTCGCTAGGATGGCAACGGGCACGAGGAGTCATCGGCATGGGGAGGACTATAAAGAAACGAGGGTAGAGTTCGTTAGTTTTGTTCATGGAGAGGAGGTGGTGAACTAGCGTTAGAGAACGAGGTAGCTGTGCGAAGTAGGTTTACGTCTAAGAGATATAGCATTATGAGAGTATCAAAAATATGACTATATTTATTTAATAGGACGAGAGAAAAAGTGGACGCAGAGCAGAGAG